AAGTTTTAAAATAATGACATTTTAAAAAGAAATTACAAAAATAATGGTAATTTAAAAATAATAACTAAATAAATGTAAATTAAATAAATAAATACAAAAGTAACTTAGGTTTTTGAAACTATTGACAAAAATAGGTTAGGTCAAAGGGGGGTCAAAACTCGCATACAACGCTACTCCCGTACAACGTGTATTCTCTATGTGGCGGGTGGGTCGACTTCCAAACGGAAGTTGCAGGCGATGTATGCGACTTCCGTGCGATGTACGCGACTTCCTCTTATTGAAGTCGCATGCAATGCACGCGACTTCCATATATTTTTTTTTTCACTGAAGTCGCAGCCGTTGGCTCGACTTCAGTGAAATCGCGGCCTAGGATCGCGATTTCGTCCTAAATCGCAGTCGACGGCTGCGATTTACCTAACCTATTTTTGGAATTAGTTTTGATCCTAGCCTATCTATCGTGTACCTTCTCACCTCCTTTTTCTCTCTCTTATTTAAATGCTAATGTCCTTTTCTCCCTTCTTCGTCTTTTTTTTAAGAAGTTTTGAGACACTAGATTAAAGTTGTCAACTTTTTTTTTTCTTATTTCCCTTTAGCTTCAGATGACAACCATTGCAGATTAACAGCTCAATTATCGTAAATCTAAGATACTAAGAAAATTTACACAAAGGATAATAGATTAGATATCAAGACACAGATTAAAATGATTAAGACCTACATGAGAACTGAGAGGGAGTTTTCTTCCAGCAACAAGAAGTTATCCTTGAAATTATTCTGTATAGAATAAAAAAAAGATGAAGAAGAGAGAAAATAAGGAGGAACAATAAGAGAGAAAGGAGGTGAGAAGGTGTAGGGAGAGAAAAAAGGGAGAAGAAAGGTCAAACATTTTTTTTAAATACTCAAAAAGACTTTTGTAATAAAATAATTAGAAAAGAATAGCCAACACTTGTCTTCTTATTAGAGGCATGTGAGGGTAAGGAGTACAATAATTCTTAACATTAATGAGAGAAGTTTTTTTTTTTTTTCTTTCATATTTTATTGTGTCACTAGTAATGGATGACAATTTACAATACTTGTTTGAATTAAAATGGAAGACATTAGCTAATTGGTACTTTTTAAATGTAATAATATCAGGGTTTTAAATATTCATGTCCATGGAAATGTCGAGATCTCAATTTCATGAAAATATCGATAAAATGTATGAATATTTCTATTATAAAAGTTAGAAAAAAAATCGTAAAAAATATTTAAATAAACAAATAAACACCTATTTCTAAATTAGTTAAAAATAATTAATCTTAATATTATGTACATATTAATGACATTTTGTTGATATTTTTCATATTTTGTCGATTTTTTTATATTATGATGGAAATGTCAATTTACCCCTCACGTCGATGTCGAACCTATAAAAACATAGATATGTCGATGGAAATATTGACATGTCGACAAATATTCAAAACCATGAATAAGATGAGTATAATGATGTAATTTTTAATAATATAACTGAGAGGATGTTTAGGGAATAATATTTACCTGACGTGGAGATGAATAAAGGGACTATTGAATTTTAAAAATCCAATAAACTTGGTGTTAGAATACTATTGAATTCCTTTTCCTTCTTTTTGTATCATTCCTAGGCGGAGGTTGGTGTTCGAACACATCCGAACTTTTGGTTTGAGATATATGTCTTAATCAGTTGAGCTATATTCAAATTGATATTTTTTTTTTATTTTTCCTTTTGCCTACTTGTGTTTTTTTTTTCTTCTCATCAATTTCTATGTATTAAGATTGTTTTAGGGTTTAGAAATTTTTTTTGACAAACCGTGGAAAAATATATTATTATAGATTAAAAAAGGAAACCCACATAAAAGCTCACTGAAATATTAAAAATGTGAATTCATATATATCATATATGTGATCTACCATAGTAAATATTGCATATTGTAATGCTTTTACTTTTGTGCTCTCTTTCTTATTTCAAGTATTTAAAGAAAAGCAAGAGTATTTGGAAATTTAAAGATAGAAAATTTTGAAAAGATATTAAATTTTTTGAAAGAGAAACGTGTTGAGAATGACAAACGAAAAATGAGTTTTACTTGTCCCACGTTGATAATTTTTACAAAAGACCTTATAAAATATGTTTAGAATAAACGCAAGATACCTCTTCGTATGATTTGAGAGATTAATAATTTGCAAATAAATTTTTAATTTTACATTATTTATAAATAAAGTCCTACGAAACATGCACAAATTAACTTTGCCATCCCATCCCAGTCTATGTCTATCTTTTTATTTATTTATTTTCTCCTATACATTTTCTTTTGTTATATTTGAAATTCATTTTTATATCTATAGACGGAGAAAAAGGAGTACAATTTTATTGGACCAAGCTTTTATTTTATTTTAAGTCTCTTTCCACGATTTTTCTCTTTTTAATTTTCTCTTTTAGAAATCTATGTTAGCTTCCTCGCAATTTTTTTACTTGTTTGTCACTTTTATTAAAAATCTATTACATTTTTCAACCAAGTTTTAAAAACAAAAAATAAAATATAATTTTAGATGGTGAAATTTGAAGAAGTAGATAAAATAATACATGCCAGTGTAGTGTTGATGAGTTTAATTTTAAAAGATCTATCGAGGTTGTATAAGGTAAATGCAAAAAATATTCTACATTAATTAGGAAATAACATGATCTATGATATATAAATGAAGACACAATTATTTTCTTTAATATGAATTTTTTTTTTTGAGCGAAACCAAACACAAAGTCGTGAGGACTATGTTCAAAATGGACAATATCATATCAATGTAAGGTACGAGAAGTACCATTGTCCTCAACAAGACATACAATCAAAGTTAAAATAATTATCAATTCAACTTTACTTAATTGAAGAAGTTAATATATGTTATAATTAAACTGGGTTTACACAATCTCATTCATTAAGATTTGATATAATATTTTTATTTTTTGTCGTGGAAGGGAAATTGTTTGGAGCGCATTAATTTTTCAACAAAACTCACTTCTAATCCATTGTCTTTCTTGAGACAATGAGTATGATACTTTGAAATGAGTACGTTGATAGTCTTAATTACATACAAAGATTGAAATGTTAATCTTACTTATTTAATATTAATTAATTATTTAACACGTTGAGTTAAGGAGTAGGCAAATTCAAAAGGAACAAAATAGTGCACCATAAGTACTCGAGTCATGTAACTGGCATACTATGGCCTGTTTGTTTGACTTCAGTAATTTCACGATCAATTTGACTACAATTTTAGATTTCATGGTTTGAAATGTAAAATTGTACAATATTTTTGATTTTATATGCATGATTAGATCAATAAATATAAAAGAATTGGTAACATCATTCTTTAGGGAAAAAAAAGGAAAAGAAAAAAAATTCAATATTGACTCAAAAAAGAGAGGCGGCCATTTTTAGAAATTCAGATCAACAATTGTTGAATCCCATGTGCTTATCACTTATTTTTCTTTGGAAAGAAATTAATATAAATAAATCATTTAGACTACTAAAATAATGTAGATCAATTATTTTCTACTTCCCATCTGATGTTTTAAATTGTTGGTCTGATTAATATATGTAGTAGTTGGGAAAAAAACTTAATTAATCTCAATAAGATAATAATAGATTAATTAGGGATGATGATCAAGAGAGAATGATTTGGAATATCTTTATATAAATCAACCCTGTTGCGGCTACAATAATTGTTACTTGCCAAAAATGTGGGGGATATTTTTGTTTCATTTTTACCATAATAAAGATGTGGACAAATGTAAATTTTATTTTATAATCATCCGTCATGTTCTTTTACAAAATAAATTTTTGTCTCAAATTTTTAACCTATATGTGATAATGACGCTGGTATTTACATGTCTAATTTAGACATTTTGTGAGTATGACATTACTATAATTTCTCTCATTTTTGTGTGAATCCTTCTATGAGTGGAGTGAAGGTGTGTTTATAAGAATTTGAGGGAAATCTTTCCATTACATCCATAGTGTTGAACCACTCTTTACTGTTGGACAAGACCGTCAGACATTACAACTCGAGCTTGGTAAGTTTGGCGATGCTATTACCCTAATGAAAGATGAACTTGGTAGTCCTGAGTTATTGAGATCAGAAGGTCCTTTTATAGGTAGATTGAAGAGATAGGTTTATTATGGTCGTTACAACAAGTGATTGGACAGTTACGGATTGTTGGACCTTAGGTCGGCAATGATTGAAGTTGATGTCTAACCTTTTTCGAGACTCTCAGGATCAGTCGAGCTTTATAAGTCAGCCACTAGGACGAGCTATTCATCCTTATATGAATGGACTTAGGAGCTCGACGGTAGATCATGAACTTGGAAGTTGGACCATATCCCACCAAATTGTAGTTCATGTTTCTATCCCACCACCTAACATATATTTTGTTCAAATAAAGAAACTATACTCTAAAACCAAATCCAAAAGTTTAATTATATATTTTGATATTTTCAATATTAATTATACATCACATCGAAAACAGAGAGAAATTTGAAATACTTATCCCTCCCAAACATACTCAGAACTTCACAAGTTCTAGGAAACTTCACGGTACCTAATCTGTTAGACCATAGGCCCCTCATTCATATATATTATATTTATTAGCATTCTTACCCGGCGGCTTAATTTTTCCAAATTTCAGGTCCTAGATCCAAAATTAATTATATTGTATTACCAAATTGACCCTCATCCATTTATTACACGAAAGATGACAAAGAAGGACCTTCAACGAATAGTATTTGGACACGTGTATCCTACCATCTCTGACCGAGTTCATTAGCCTCCCAGTTGACTTGACCACGTCATCCCGAACCGAACCAGACAAAAGAATTTTCTTCCATGTCAATTTTTTTCACTTCCAAAGCGTGTACGAAATTAAATTCAGATTCATTCATTGCCCGTTCTATAAATTCTGGACAACCCAATTCATTTGATCCCAAAAAAATTGCGTCCTTTACTTAATCTTAAAATTTTCTTCCCATTTTTCAATTTTCTCGGCATCCAAACAGAGGTTTCTTAGAGTAGAAAACTCGAAAAAAGCTATGGAGGCGACGAAAATCGCTACACCAAGGCCAAGGGGAGTGCCAGTGAAGAGAGCGACGATGTTAAGAAACGGAACGAAGAAGACGAAGTGGTACTGGAAATTGAAATTCGGAATCAGACTAAACGCCATTAAAAAGGCTCTTTCATCTTCCTTACACCAGCACCGCCTCCGTCTCACATGTTCCACCGCCATGAACAACAACGGCCACCTCACTCCCCAAAATGGCGCCGTCTCCCCACTGGTAATCCACCCCTCAAACTCAAAATCATCGAAGAACAAAAAGAACGAACTCCGCCTC